CCTGTGCAAAAAAAAAAAAAAAGCCTTGAGTCAAAAATAGAAAAGAAAGATCATGAGAGATGATTATGTGTCTGTGATAAGGATTCTAGCCTAGGTTTCTCCCTAACATCTACCTTTCTATGTGCAGGACATTGTTGTATGGAAACTTCCTTTCCATGAATTACTAAGTGCATTCTGAATTGACACAGCCCAAACCCAGATGGCACAGAGCTTCAGCCTCTCAAGATCACTCTGAATTTTGCTTCTGTCTTCCAGTGGACCCAGTTCTGTGTCATCTGGAATCTGATCAGCATTCCCTGAACCTCATTGTCACGTCATCAGTAAAAATGTTGAAGAGCACCAGTCCCAGGACTGATCCCTGAACTATCCGACTAGTCCAAGAAGGTGCCATTGAGGAGCACACTGAGTGTGTTTTTGTAGCCACCTACAGATCCACCAATAGTTGTTCTATCTAGCCCACTTTTTACTAGTTTTCTGATCAGAACGTCATGGGTCACATTGTCAAAAGCTCTGCTGAAGTAAAGATACATTTTGTCTAGGACATCCCCACAGTCCACAAGGAACGTTTTCCAATCAAAAACTGAGATCAGTTTAGTCTGGCAAGAATTATTTCTAAGAAATCCATGCTGTCTCCATTGTCTTCAAGGTGCTTACAAACTGACTTCTTTATTATCTGCTCCAGAATTTCCTCAGGGAAGTGTCAGTCTAACTGGTATGTAGTTCCCAGAATCCCCTCTTTTGCCCTTTTTGAAGGTAGGGACAACATTAGCCCTCCTCCAGTCATCTGGCACTTCACCTGTTTTCAGCCAGTCAGTGCATATTGAAACCTGGAAGCTACACAGTTCTAGTGTGATTTGTTCAAAAGTCAATTTATAGAAATGGTATGGTTTTCATAATTGTTTTCCAAATGTGCAACTGGTGGTACATCTTAGAGGTAGAAGTCCATGAGCCAGCTCATTTCACACAGCAGCACTATCAAATCAGAATCCAGGCAAGCAAACAATAAAAGTCATAGGATTTTCACCCCACTGACCCCCTAGTACCACCTAGAAGTTATGTAGTAGAGAAGCAAGAAAGGATTTGCTCTTTTTATGGTACTCAGACCCCAGTTCCATGATGAAATTTAAACTAGATGCAAATGATTACCAGGCAGTTAACAACCTAGTGAAGGAAAAAAGGTGATGGAAATTTCTGTATTTTACTGTAAGCGGCTGGAAAGAGGCTATCCATGCTATGACCAAATTTATCTATACAGACAAAGATTTCTTAAGGCTGTTTCACTTTGAATCACTTAGAGCGGATTGGCTGGGGACTCACATTGTTCAAACACAGTGGTGAAAAGCACTTTGAAGCCGATAGGATGTTTGCATGCTGAATGACTTCAAGGTTGTTTCTCTCAATGTGATACCATGGGTGTCTCCCACCCCAAGGATGTGTCTTTTTGGATAGCCATCACTTAAATAACATGTGTGGACAAGCAGTGCCGGCAGTCTTCAAACTGATCACAATCTGGGCTAGTCCTTTTTGGAAAGTATCTGTAATTGGGTCCATTGATTACAGGAAATAGGTCCATTGTTTGTTCATGTTCTGCAGTGAAAAAGTCAAACCACAGTTCTTGGATGTTTACAATAGAATCAAGTTAATGACGCACTAGTGTCTCAGGGACTCAAACCCCTGAGGTCATGCGCCAGAGTTTTTGAACTCTAATCTTCTTTTTAAGTTCTAAGCTGGTTAGTAAATGAGAATAAAACAATTCTCTAAAGGAATGGGTGGAATGCTAAATTAAATTGGGTCCCATTATTTAATTTGGGAGTTTTTGTCTGTTTCTGATTTAAGTTTCATTTGATACAATAAGTGTCCAAAAGGGTCTTCTGGCTAGAAACTGCTTCATGACTCTTGCAAATAGTATGCAAATTTCTAAATGGATATCACCCTTACCACTGATACTAATGCTCATGCTTTTTCTGTACTCTAAAAGGAAGTTGGTGGAAGGTGGGCAGTTTAAAAGCTTGAAGCCTAAAATGTGGTTTAATATTTAGTGGTTTCAATTCTCACCCTGAGCCAGCAAACAAGATTGCTGTTTGAAGGCCAGCTGCTGCATGCTCATCTTGCAATATGTACTCCCAAATGTACAGTGGGGTTTTCCCTATGTGGTTCCCTAGAATAAATACCAGTTTCTAGCTGTCAGAGTTACATGTGCCATCCTTGAGAGATTTGACTGAGAAACCTGTGTGCATGGCATCATGGCCCATACCCCAGAAGTTTCTCCCCTATCAACCCTGTCAGCAGGGACGAATTTCATATCTCTGGTCTGTTAACAAGGCTGCACATGATGCAATTTGAGTCTGTTCTGTTGTGCCCGACATCGCATTGAGCCCGATACCATCAAAATCACTGAGTGCAAGAGATCAAAATATGATGTGTACACATGCTAGCCAAGACATTCTGATTGACTGCAAAGTCAGGGGACCATCAGCTTTATGGCTAAGCAAATCTCCCACATACATGAAGAGCAAGCAGGACAGAAAGAAGGTCCTGCAGCTCTCCAGTGGGGCAACCTCCAGGGCCGCACAGCCCAGAGAGTGGGCAAAAAGTTGCAGCATCAATATGAGCTCTGGCAGGGCCGTGCCGGGGCCGACTGGGGATGGCACGCCTCACCACAGCATCTTTTCTGCTTATGTGATAAGATAATTTAAAAAAACTTGGAATGGCTACACAGGCGTGTAGATGCTTATAGGCACTCACTTTTGTTTTGATGGTAAGTTATCTTTCCTGCAATAAAGTGGTACTTATTCCCAAATAAGTGTGTTAAGTGTCATGGCAAAAGAAGAAAACTATTTTCTATTCCTGTAGTCATAGTGGTACTCTGATATAATTGTTGTAAGCCGCCCAGAGACGGGTAGTGATTGGATGGATTAGAAATACCCCAAATATATAAATAATAAATATAATATGCTTAAATATAATATGTTATTTGTTTTTCGGCGCCAGGCGAAGACCTTTTTATTTAAGCATCATTTTAATTGTTAACAATATTTGCTTATTTATCTGGCCAGGGCGACTCCTTTTATATTGTTATTCATTTTATATTGTGAATTTTATATTGTTATTTTTGTATTTTATTGTATTTTATTTTGTGTTGTGAGCTGTCCCGAGGCTTCGGCAAGGGGCGGCATAGAAATGTTTTAATAAATAAATAAATAAATAAATAAATAATAAAATACAACATTGCCTATTCTACAGAATGGCATTCAATGTGGATAAGTAAAAGGCCTTGCACTTGGGACACAGGAACAGGTGTCACAGGTACAGAATGGGGGACAAGTGGCTGGAAAGCAGCACTTGTGAGACGCATCTTGGGGTACTTGCTGCCAGCAGGCTGAACTTCAGCCAGCAGTGTGACATGGTGGTTGAGAAGGCAAATACCACCCTTGAATGTATAGCCAGAAGCATGGCTTTCAGATCTAGGGAGGTGTTGATACCACTCTACATAACTCTGGTGTGTCCACAACTGGAGTACTGCATCCAGTTCTGGGCTCCTCATTATAGGAGAGACATAGCTAGGTTAGAATTGGTCTAGCACAGGGTCACAAGAATTGTAGCTGGGTTGGGAAGGATGACATACGGGGAGAGATTGTGGGAACTGGGTCTTTTAAGATGAGACTCCAAGGAGATCTTTTACCAACTAATAGGTATAGGAGATGTTATGTGGAGGAGCACTGTGACCAGTTCTTCCCTGCAGTGGAAGGCAGGTTGTGTTCCAAAGGGACAAAGCTCAAGGAACCAGGCTTCAGGTTGGATGCCAGAAAGTACTTCCTGACAGTTAGGACTCCCAGGATATGGAATGGGCTTCCAAGGGAGGTGGATGAGGCCCCATCACTGAGGGTGTTCAAGGAAAGACTGGACAAGCACATATTGGGGATTACATGAGCGGAGCCGGCTGGAGTCAGGAGTCAAACTAGATGGCCCGGCAGGCCTCTTCTAACTTGCTTTGTTTCCATGTTTCTATATTTTTTCTATGTCTCTGTCCTTATTGTTTTACCAAGTTTGGCGAATAGTGTTTTGACTGTTTTTTTGCTCGAACATCAGGAATTTGAGAAGCAGCTGTAAAGTACTGAATGGTGCAAGGAAAGAGAGAGAGAGAAATGAATCATCACAGGGTGGGCCTTTTCTAGTAAGATAGCCTGGCTGTGGTGTCTGACCCAAAGGGAAGCTGAAATTATAGGCTGCAGAAAACTGAGTTCAAATCCAGGCAAGTAGGACAAATGCAGAAAGGGACACAGGAGCAGGGTGATTTTTTAAATCACTGTGAGTCAAGAAATTTCTTGCCAGCTTGGATCACGGGGGCAGATGTAGACACTTCTCGCTCTGTCTGTCTGACCTTATGTGTGTCTACAGAATTATTATGTACCTGGAAGCTATTATGTATTCTTGAAACTATTATGTATTTTGAATGTTTGCATTTTCTTTGTTTGCATGCAACCACTCAGACAATGCTTGGGGATTCAAGCCTGCACATGCCAAAGACATGTCCTTATGTTTCCAAATTCCCCCATTTCAAGCATCAGTTCCATTCCCTTTTACCTTCCAATTTTCAAGGGATAGAAATTATGCAAGCAGGACTTTTGAAGGACTGGGTGGCGAGTATGAACACCTCAGTTCATGCAATAGTTTCCCACCTGGCTATAGCAATGGGGCTTCTCTAGAAAGAGACTTTTGAATGGATGAACAGAAGCAACATGAGACGGAATAATTAATTTGAAAGGTCCCAGAAGCAATGAAGCCATGGACAGTAGGGTTGCAGTGGGGAATCAGGAATTCTTCCACTAATTTCCTTGCTTTGTTACCCATGTGGAATGTCTTGAATATGACCTTTCTTGCGAGCTGTAAGCCTAGCAAAAATCAAACAAAATACATAATAATATTACTATTAGCAGCTCTTGATCTAGAATATGCCTGAGGATGCTGAGTGATTTTTTTTTAATCCATTCATTCTTTAGGTCACTTCCTGGGCAACAACACTGTTATTGATGTGCTGAGACAAGCTGGGTTTGAAGTGGACCATATTCCAGCAGGACAGCCAATAGAAAAGTAAGTTTAATTTCCCATAAGTTCTTTTCATGCAAATAAACAAATCTTTGTAGATAGTGCAAGCCAAGAATCAATTATTTCATTTCTGAATTCTTTAAGGATTCTCTCATGGATGCCATTTATGCCCAGTGATCATTTTAAATTTGTCAGTAGAGCGTATGGACTCCCAGTTCCAATAATTTATTCAGAGGACCTGTGCACTGGGGGAAAGAACAAAACTCTACTGTGTTTTGTGCTGACCTTCTATAGATGGGCCTTGCATCTATGCCTTGAATCAGATGCATTTGTTCAGTAAAATTTGCAGATAGAAGAAAACCTAAAAATTCTGAAAAACTTCACCTTCCCAAAGTAAACTAGTGTTTATATAGTGCACCAGCCCTTTGACGCTAAAGCACAATTGAAAGATCTGCACATTTTATGTATCTGTACAGAGATAGATAGATCTTTTACCTAAAATTGGATTTCAGGAGGGTTGTATGCTGTAGAATTTTACCAACTTTGGAAGATGCCCTCAATGTCTGAAAGCAAATCTGACTGACTTCTTTGGAATTTAGTATCATATGAACACAGCTTTGCTCAAGAAACAACCAAAAACAGAAACAAAAATGAAACCAGTTGTTGTCTATTGGCAAGCAAGCACTCCATAAATGTGGCAATCTGTGGTGGCCAACTGAAACGAAGACCTGAATAAGCAATCACTTAAGAAAATAGAGGTCTATTATCTCTGTAATGTCTTGTTCCAACATGCTGAACCAAGCATAAATCCATAAGCAATTGTGTGTTTTCTTACCCATTTTTATCCTGGGTACCGATTGTGCCTTGCCTTGTTGTTGGGATAATGAAGTCCTAGATTGTTTCCCAAATTGCTAATAGTCATAAGGCTTCAAGGACAGAAATAAAAATATGGCTTCAATAGGTCCATTCATGAAGAAAACATTATTAACTGTAGAATCAAGCACAGAAGAAATGCAAGCTTGTCAGCATACAAAGCAGTGAAGGACACACGGCGCTGATGCACAGCTGAAGAATAGAGCGGATTCTGAGAATTCTGCAGAAGCAGAGTCTTCCCTGGTCACAGGTGCTTCCTGAATTGCTCTTTTTGATGTGCTCCCTCAGACTAAATGGACAGCACCTGCAATATTTGATTTGCTGACTGGAATTTGCACAAAGTGGAGCTTCTGTTCTTTTCTCTTCCATCTCCTTTTCCCTCTAAAGGGGCAGACAAGAGAAAGGAAAAATATTTGTTGTTACCTTGAATTAAATCACTCATAGATTTATATAATGTTTGGTGGGTTCATCTATATTGGGAAATGGTAGCCACAATTGTGAATGCTCCCTTCTTTCCTCTTCTTTTGCACTTGTAAGAAAGAGATCAAAAGTTTCCCATTTTGATTTTAAATTATCCAGATTCTCCATAAGATTCAAACCGAAACTATGACTAAACTATAGCCAGATGATGACATAGTGACCATCTGTTTTGTTTAAACAAAGCAAAATACCAGGTCGTGAATGAGCCAGTATGCTAATTTACATGGCTCCATTGCTCCTGTTGGGTTGCTTTTGCCAGCAAGAATGGGTTTTTAGTATCACATCTGAACCCAAAACTCTAACTTGCTTCTCCCATGATATGCCAGGCAAGGAATGCTAGTTTGTTTAGGTTTTCTCACTGCCAAGAGGAACAAAATGGGATCTATCAGTGTGAACTATCATGCAAGGTTGTTCATGAGAACCCAGGATTAAAAATGAACACTAGATTGTAATTATGTGCAAACTGAGGATGTGGTTAGAGAGAACAATCCAGAACAAAGTCATGTTTTCATATTCTGGTTTGATCCCATACAATAGTTTAAACACATCAAAGTTGTCTGAGTTTGGCATCATAGCAAACTGTGGTTAGTTTAATACTGGAAGTAGAAGCATTGAGGCATGCTAGAGGAGGAGAAGGGAGACAATGTGAGTAAGAAAGGCTACCTGGGACTTACTAGGGTCAATATAGCAGGAAGTTATGGTTTTCTGTTATTAACCTTTGCAGCCATTCTGTACATTTTCATTCAAAGCTTTGCAGAAGGAATTAAGCAAGCAAGAAGATAAATAATGCTTGAATATGCCATTGTGTGTGCACTATAATTTGTGTGTGCAGTCTATAAATTAAAAAATAAAAATGAATAAAACAAACATTCAGTATTTCTGAATCAAGAATTAAAAAATTATTTGTATTAAGCAAAGGTTTAGAAGGGCACTTTTCGTAATTTACATGTACTGTTAGCTCACATTATGCCTTTGACAGTCATTGTTGCTTGATATAGCTATAGCTTATCTATTGATTTCAAAATAGGGTTTTCTTCAGGTTATGTCAAGTTGTACTGCCATTAGCAAATTATGTATTTGTTGGGTTTTAGCAGAAGCCAAATCCTGTTTCCCTTGCTTGTCCCAATCATTCAACAATATCCTACTTAAATCTGAACAAAATGGCTTTCTTAGTCAGCCAAGGATATACACTGCACGGTTCTTAATGTGTCTTTGGATTCAAAGTCACTTGGGCTATGAAATTCTTTCTTGTACTGTTTGTAAACTAGAGAGAGCCCCTTATCCAAGTTCAAGGGTCTTGATTTTATTTATTTATTTTATTTATTTATTAAAACATTTTTGATGTATAGCTTTGGTGAATAGCTACAGCAAATAGCTATTTGGTGCCAGTGTCTTCTGTCCTTCATGTCCTATCCATGACTATCCATGGATACTAGTCATAATGGCTCTATGCTACCTCCAGGGCAGGAAGCTAAGTGACTGTTGGTGAGGAACAGAAGTGAGCAGAAGTGTGCTATTGCATTTGTGTCTTGCTGTGAGGGAGGCATCTAGTTGGTCACCATGCAAACACAATGCTGGGCTAGATAAGCTTTTGATCTGAACCTGCATAGCTCTCCTTAAATTCTGACTCCATTATCCCACTCATCCTATGATGATGATGATGATTCAATTATTATCTATTGTATTATGGATTGTATTTTTATTGTTGATTTTATGTTCTGTAAGCCATCTTGAGATGTTTAGTGAAAGATGGGATAGAAATCTTTTATTAAATTATTTTTTTTAAAAAAAATCCTCTTCCACCAGGTTTTATATGATGGTGTGACTTGCAGTAATTTATATGTACCCATAGCATATTTTTTAAAAATCATATCCTGCACTGGATACTGGACTTTCTGAAGATCCTAAGAATGATAAAAGAAACAGCAAAGTGTTTCATTTAATTCTTCATAAATTTTAGCCTGGTTGAAAGAGAGCCTTTGAGAGGAGAGAATAAAAATATCCAAGTGGCATACTACAACTGCTCATTTGCCACGTGGCAAAAGGTTCCAGATCTGTCCATCCAAACCAATTTCCTATGCATTGATTTCTTGAAATATCAATTAGATATCCAATCAGATACTAATGACATTTTATTGCACTGAAGATCTCCTACCCATTTGCAAAGCAATCTGTTTTTATTCTGCATTCTAAGAAAATGGAATAAACTTCTCTTTTTATCATTATCATTATCATTATCATTATTTGCTCTGTTTTTATTTTATTTATACTATGCACAGGTGCCCCATTACAAAAAGATTCTCAGGGTTGACTAGCAACGTAAAAACAAAGTATTTTGAAAAATGCAATAAGTATAACAATAAAACATGATTCAGCATAAAACTCAGATGGCACAGAGCATTAAGTAGACTCAACATTTTTTCAGCTATGAATATGCTAACACTGGTTTTGAACAGCTTGGAAAAAGAACAGGGCAACATCTCACAGTTAAATAGACCTAGTTGAAGTTTCTGGACTATCCCTCCCCACTGCCACCCTGAGAAAGACCCAGCTGTAGTAATCCAGCTTAAACAACTGAGGCAGTTCTAAATCTCTTCACCACTTCCAAATGATATTGGCAGGGAACATAAATATTTTCAAGAGATTGCAGCAAGCAGAGTAGAAGATGCTTATCCTGCTTCCTTTCACACTGCACTTACATCTTGTCGATAGAACTCTTCAGTCTCCAGTGATACCCCTCTAGAAAAAAAGTGCTGCTACACTTTGTACCATGCCAAGTAGGTGGTTTCAGAAGAATCAAGAGGTATCATGTGCCTAGAGAGAATGCAAGTTTATCTGCTGCAGCCTGTTTGCAGTCACTCAGGCTGTCCAGCACTTATTTTCCCCATCTGTATAAGCATACCATCTCCTTAAGAAATCTCACACATTTGACTCAATGACTTCCACAGTTATTCTTCTTCAGTTGAGCAGTAATAGTTCAGCATGTTCTGAAATCATTACAACTCCTCCTGAAAGCTACAGCAACCCAAAGGCTTCTTGATCCAGTTTTTCTGATGTTAATGGCAGTACTTCAAAGTAACTATGTAGATTGCAATCACTAAGCAGACCCCTCCATATGCAGAACGATGGTTTGCCCAAGAACAGGATGAAAAGGAAAATCAAATGTTGTTGTTGTTGTTAGTCACGAAGTCGTGTCCGACCCATTGTGACCCCATGGACAACATTCCTCCAGGCTTTCCTGTCCTCCACCATCCCCCGGAGTCCACTCAAGCTCACACCAACTGCTTTAGTGACTCCAATTAACCACCTCATTTTCTGCTGTCTCCTTTTTCTTTTGCCATCTATTGTTCACAGCATTAGGCTCTTCTCCAGTGAGTCCTTCCTTCTCATTAGGTGGCCAAAGTATTTGAGTTTCATTTTCAGGATCTGGCCTTCTAAAGAGCAGTCAGGGTTGATCTCCTCTAGGACTGACCAGTTTGATCGCCTTGCGGTCCAAAGGACTCTCAGGAGTCTCCTCCAGCACCACAATTCAAAGGCCTCAATTCTTCGGTGCTCAGCCTTCCTTATGGTCCAACTTTCACAGCCATACATTGCAACTGGGAAAACTATAGCCTTGACTATACCCACTTTTGTTGGCAGGGTGATGTCTCTGCTTTTTAGTATGCTGTCTAGATTTGCCATAGCTTTCCCCC